AAAAAAAAAAAACATATGTATGGTGTTAGAATAGAACCTGCATCACTTATGTGGTGAGAGAATGCACAGAACCACATGATCACATGAGCTATTATGATTTAAACTTTGGTACAAATATATATAATATATTATTTTATGAACAAAATATAAATTTTGTCTATTTTAAGCTAAACCTAACTAAACCCAATGGAATACATGGTTGTTCGTATTTGACTTGTTTATAATTCGAGCATAAAAAAATTGTTCATGTTCGACTCATTTACTAATAAAACGATTTGAACACTAGCTGCGAACAGAGGCTATTCACGAAGCATGGGATAATCTCAGACAATATTTATATCAAGATATTCCTATGTAAATTAAATTAACATGGCCTAGCTTGAAAGCTGTTATATTTACTTTAAATTTATTGTAATACGAGCTTTATATAGTTTCAAAATATATATCCTGAAATTTGAGCCCATTCTTATATAATTCAAGTTCAAATCTTCAACATTATATTAACTGAAATTTGAGCCCATTCTTATATAATTCAAGTTCAGATCTTCAACATTATGGCCTAGGCCCGCATTTATCTAAAGAAAACAATATTTTTATGGCATTTACATTTATGCCACTTAATTTCTATGTATTTATATATCACATTATTAAATTTTATTTTTTTATTATGTCATCCTAATTTCTTATATCACATCAAAAATATTATTATTTTAACTTAATAAAATGAAATGTGCATTAGATAAGGTCGCTTATATGTACACATAATAATTTTGATTTTAGATGCGTAAATACATAAAAAATAGTTGGTATATTAGTATATCAGTAAATTTTTCTTTTTTATTTATTTATTTGTGTGTGTTTATATATATATATATATATGATACGCCACCAATAAATTTTCATCATCCGAAACGAATTTCAAGGCATGACACATATCGTGAGACGATATTTTGAACAAGAAACATTCAGATCTTGATAGAAATTCATTCAGAGCTCTGATTTCAGCAAACTTATAGTTATCGATGAGACGAACCTAATGATATTAAAACTAGGCCAATCCGAGTCAAATCAAGCCCAGTCAAGTCATTGAACCACACTTATAAGATTTTCAGACACATTTGGAAGGTCAAACGATTGTCAAATATGACAAGTGTATACTCGAATCGAAACGAGCGGCACGACAAGAAGAATCCAACGAGCCCAAGATCAATCAATGTTGACATCATTAAAGCACTCAAATGTTCATTAAACGTTGTATGATCGATGGAAGTTCTTCAGACCGTCCGATCAAAATGGTTCATATTCCTGCATTAATTGCACCCAAAACACTATAAATAGACCCCCACTCATCACATGAGGGGAAACTAAAGTCTACAGAGAGAGCCAGAGACCTTGAGGAGAAGCTGCAACTCAGCATCACCGTTGATCGTCGTCGACCACCGTCGAACGCCGTCGACCATCACCGTCCGCCGAAGACCACTGCCGACCTCCGTCGTCAACCACCGCCAATCTCCGTTGACCATCGTCGACCGTCTTCAACCTCTGCCAACTATCAATTAACGTTGTAATCTGAAAAAAATATAGTTACCCTTTTCCCGTTTGTGGGATAATGTCTTTTGGTAATCATCAATTGAATAGTGGATTTTCGCAACTAGGCCATGCCCAGTGGTTTTTCCCTTTACGGGTTTTCCACGTAAAAACTTCTTGAGTCATCACCACTTGTTTCTTTTTCATCTATGTGTGTACTGAACCTTCGTACAATGCTAAGACGATAGTTCGTTACTCTACCGTCGTGAATTTTCTAGCACGCATCTATGATTTAAAACCGGTGAAGCAAAATTTTGAGAGTACAACGTCAGTCTTAAAATATCTAAAAGAGACCAAGCAGAAACTATGATTTAACTTGAGTATGAAGAATCAGGTGAAATAAACTCAGGTTCGCTCAACCGACACCAACAATTATAATTGAACAAAATGAGATAATTATTACAAAAATAATTTTAAAAAAGTTGTGAGAGTTAAGTGTAAAATATATTATTACTGATGATTATTTATACAAATTTTAATTCTCTTATTATTTTTAAAATTTTACATATATACCACATATACAATTACTTTTTATTTACATATCTAACAAAGTAAAATTTAATATTTACATTTACAACTATTTGGTGTGATGAATTAATGCATGCGAAGACATGTTTCACTTTTAAAATATTATTAGTAGTGATATTTTCTATGTGATACTAAATATTAGAGGTTATATAAGTAAATATACGACTTTATATGACAACTTATCGATGTATGAAAAGGTGTATTTCATGATACTGATATGTTCGATGCGACATAAAAAATGCATGAAATACGTGATTTGCCTGTATTTAAATGCCCCTTAATTTTTAACAAATCTAGTAAATTTGAATTTGTGTTATAAGGAAGATTTACATACATACCACTTATTGGGTATATGCATTTCTCTTAAGGGAGCTGGATGTTCGCCAAGGTGGAGATTTGTTAGGTATGACTCATAATACCAGAATTTGGAGTGTCTTGAAATGAAGAGTTGTCTCTTGGAATTGAAGAGTTGTGTCTCTTGGAATTTAGTGGGTTGGGGAGATCAGCGAGAGCGCAACCGAAGCGTGGTGGCCTAACCCACATTGGTGCATAGGAAACTCCATGATATAATTCTCCAAAGGGGATAGATATTCGCCAAGGTGGAGATTTGTTGGGGTATATGCATTTCTCCTAAAGGGGTTGAATATTCGTCAATGTGGAGGTTTGTTAGGTATGACTCATATACCATAAATGAGACAGATGCTGGAGTGGAGCAGAGCGGAGCCCACGAGCGGAGTGGAGCGGAAGGATCTGTCCAATTGGGGGAGTCTCATTATGTGGGTTGCAGGTGCGGGGGCAACACCTCACGGTTGGTACATAGATAATTTAAGTAATTACATATTCTACTATAGGATTATATATATGTCTTGTTTGTAACCCTAGGTGACTCTCTGAGAGCCCGAGATTCCGAATTTTGTATTCTGTACTCTTTTCTGAATATTAAAAAGGGAGTTACCGCTCTGCTCCCGATGATGTAGGCATCTTTACCGAACCTCGTAAATCTCTGTGTGATCTTCTGGATTTGTGTCGATTCCTATTTTTCTTCGCCCTAATTTCTCGACACCACCCAAGTTTTATGTATTTACGTATCCACGTCCAAACATCTATTTTTTATGTATATGCTACCTTACCTCTGCATAAAAAGGAGTAATGCAAATTTTAAAAGTTAATATAATGGTATTTGCTCATATAACATGAAAATTTGGGTGGCCCAAATGAAAAAAAACGTAGTATAGATGATACATTTGTAAATACGTAAGAATGAATGGTGTGTATGTAAATGGCAGTCCGTTTTATCCAAACTTCAAAGAGCCAGAATTCCAATGTGAGGGACGCTTGTTCGTTTTGTTGCCTTCTCAGGACCATGCACGAGGAGCTCCACATGCTTTGTCTTGCAATTTTCTATTCAAGGGAAAAAAAAATATAAATTTTTTTGCTCTTATAAGATGATAGAAAGAGAAATGTAGAGTTGAAGATAGTGATGTTTAGGCGATGTTTGGCTGCAAGTTAGATTTAAGCTAAATAGGATTTATCGTATTCGATGGATGCATCAAATTTAGGGCGGTAAACGAGCCGAGCTTGAGCGAGCTCAGGCTTGGCTCGTGTTCGGCTCGTTCGAAATAGCTCGTGTTCGAAATCGGCTCGTGTTTGAAATCGGCTCGTGAGCAGTGTGTTCGTGATCGGCTCGATTTAAATATTTGTGTTCGTGTTCGGCTCGAAATTGGCTCGTTAAACTAAAATTGAGAAAAATAAATGTAAAGTGTGGGATTCTAACCTGTATTAAATATATACAAAAGAAGACATTAACCACATTGCCACATGAGATATTATGATTTAAACTTAGACATAAATATATATAATATATTATTATATAAATAATATATGTAATATATTGTTATATAAAAAGTTATATAATTTTTTTTTCGAGCCATTTCGAGCCAAACACGAGCGAACAAACTGTTGTTCGTGTT